AAGAGTTTTTGCATTTCTTTCGTTCTATTTTCAAATATTTTTGGGTAGTCGAACTTGGTATCTGTAGTGGACTTGTCCAGGAAATAATAGGAAACAAAAACACCTAATACCACAACTGAAGTCGCCAAAGTGACATAGAGAAATAAGCTTACTGAGTGTCGACCACCTGAGCGTTCATCTTGGATGTCCTCTAACGACGACGGAATCGTCTTATCATTGCCTCTCAATCTTGTTTCTTCGCAATGCAGGTCAGTGTTGGTAGACATCTTTTCCTGTGTATCCAAAGTTTTAGGCTTGAAATGACTTCCTTCTTCACTACCTTGAGGAGCACCTGAGTGTTCATCTTGGATATCCTCGTTTTTAGGAAATTCATGATTTTCTTCTTGACTACCTTTCACCGACAATAGGATCGCCTTATCATTGCCTTTCAATCTTGTTCCTTCGCCATGCATGTCAGTGTTAGACGATTCCTCCTGAGTCTCCAAAGGTTTATGCTCGACATGACTTCCTTCTTCACTACCTTTGGAGGGAACCGACGGAATAACTTCCCCGTGTAATATGCCAGTTGTAGACGACTTTTCCTGATTCTCCAAAGTTTTAGGTTCGACATGACTTCCTTCTTCACTACCTTTGGAGGGAACCGACGGAATAACTATGCCAGTTGTAGACGACTTTTCCTGATTCTCCAAAGTTTTAGGTTCGACATGACTTCCTTCTTCACTGCCTTTGGAGGGAACCGACTTACTATTGCCTCTCAATCTTTCTTTAATAGGCTTTTCTTCCATACTTTTAAGGTAGGAAACTTGTACGTTTGTGCAAGGCAAACAAGAAAAAATATCAACGCAATCTTTCGCGTTTTTTTGTTGAACTAAAATGATGAAAACCAATTAAAATGACTGTCCTATTTTTTCCGAGAAATCGAAAGATTGTCCATATCGATTGGATATCATTGAAATAATGAAAAGTAGACCAATTGAAACAAGCGTAAGATGTTGAAGATTTGATGTTGATAATCACGAGAAACGGATTAAAATTATCACATGATCCCAAGCCGACGTTCTAACGTGTGTTTTGATTGGGTGATTGTTATTCATTTCGAACGATGTCCAATCAGAATAGTTGTTCTGTCGACTTCTCGGAAAAAATAGAACGACAGTTTTGATTAGTTTCTTCATCATCAATGCCAATATCAAAAAAGATATSTAATGAAGTAAGGTAGTATAAAATCAGGCAGGAGAAGTTGGAGATTGTGTCTATAATATGGCGAAATTTTGGCTTCAAACTTTTACGTATTATCTTGTTTTCACTACACTTGTAACGACACAGCTACCATTTGTAGTTTCTACAGATCCATCTTGTGGAGMMGTCATATTTGKTTTCGGGTKCTWTGGAGTAGTTCTTTCATTTGGTGGTTACGRGATTGYAGAACTTTATCGTTGGTATAAGAAATGYCCTTATTCGGAATGCTGTACCGAAAACTGGGTCAAACCAAATATCACGGGACTAAAACGCGACCTCAATGCACGTCTTTTGGGACAACACTTAGTCAGGAATACAGCCTTCACAGCTATCAAAGGACATGTCACTAACGACAATCCAGAGAAAGCCCTTGCGCTGTCATTCAATGGCTGTACTGGTTGCGGAAAGAACTTTGTCAGCAAAATCATTGCTGAAAATCTGTACAAGAAAGGAATGGATAGCGAATATGTGCACTTACTAATTGSAACTCACCACTTCCCACACAAGCACCAATTAGAGAGCTACAAAATCTGGCTGAGTAGATGGGTAATTGCGAACATCGCYAAGTGCCCCAGATCTCTGTTTATATTTGACGAGATGGATAAGATGCCAGAAGGTCTAGTDGATGTTCTAAAACCCTTCTTAGACCACTACCCTGAGGTTGAAGGGGTAGATTGCAGGAAAGCAATATTTATTTTCCTGAGTAACACTGGGGCTAGACTTATCAACAGTGCAGCGCTGGAAAACTGGAGTAAAGGGAAAGATCGAAATGCAATAACTATCAAAGACATGGACAAAATCATCAATTTGGGAGCGTTCAATGAAAAAGGTGGTTTTTGGCATGCAACTCTGATTGAAAAACATCTGATTGACTATTTCATACCTTTCCTTCCACTAGAAAGATCACATGTTAAAGAGTGTGCCAGGGTTGATCTTAAACTAAAGCATCATTCCACAAATAAGCACATTTTGGCCTTGATTGCAGATGAAATGCAGTATTATCCTGAGGACACTAAAGTATTTTCTACATCTGGATGCAAAAAAGTACCTTCTAAAGTAGACTTGATTATCAACCAAGATGACTAATGATTGCTATGTCACCTTCATCTACAAGTGGATGGGTTATTTAGTTTTCTTTTCTTTCTCTTATTAACTATTAAATAACTATTAAATATCCCACTTCAATCACTAAGATCCACAGCATGTCCCTTCCCTACTGGGGACAGATTCAGAACATTAATAACAACACTAACGTCACATAGCTCTAACTCTTGGATGTGCATTTAAGGCCAAAAAAAGAAGAATTCACATCTTTATAAATCACCCTGTATACATATAATTAGAATCAATCAATTGTTTTTAGATTTTCAAAATACGTTATGCATGATCGCCTAAAACTTTATTAAAGTTAGATAGCATGGTTTTATCATTAATAATTCAGAACAATTATAATAGATCTAACTGAAAATTTTTATGGTTATTAATAATAGAAAATACAATCATATTTTCTAATAATTTTATAGGTAATATTTAGTGATGAATGTACATTTATTAGTAAATAAAATATACTTGCAGTCTCCATGCATGATTACTCATACAATACACAGGTAACCCAGTCTATTTGTGAAATGAATATGAGGACCACATGGCACTATGTTCCTTCGTAGTGCCATGCAGTCCTCATATTCATATCTTTACATTATTCTATTACCACAACCCAACATCTATTTCACCCCGACCTGCTCCCAGTCTGGCCTTGTAGCTCAGCTGATAGAGCATCGGTAGTACAAATCCAAAGGTCGTGGGTCCGAATCCCAGCGAGGTCGGAAATTAATTTTTCCTAAGGGTCTTTCTCACGGAATTGCCTCCTTCTAAGCACTATAACTTTCTTTCATTTCTATAYTTGTGAAATGGAATGTATTAGCATATTATCCAAAGAAGAGGACCAAAAGTCTCCTAAAAACACTTTAAATTCCAAGATTATTGGGTATGGCACTTGAGTCTTCAGTAAAACATATATAATCCTTTTGTTTCCCTGGAGCCTTGCCGTCAGTTGTTATAAGACAGATGAAAGTGTGCTATGGAATATTTCATATTCATTTTTAATTATTTTTCTCTATTTTCTGCTATTTTATAGCAGTATTTGAGTACACTTAAAGAATCGGTTATATAACCCCTCCCACCCTCCTCCCCTGGTGCAGGCTACTCCTTTACTATTGGGGTTCCTTTGGAAAAAAAGGTGAAGAGAGGTACTGGGGATGTTTGGTTCCAGTTTCATTAGTCTTTCTTGGGAGTATCAGAGGAACCTCAATCTAAGCAGAATAATTATAAATCAAAGGAGTTGCCTACGGAGGAGGCTAGATGACTATGAGGTCAGAGGAGGATTTCTTGTCCTTTGCTACTGAGCTGGGTGCTGATCTGTTATTTTTGCACATAATCACATACTGTCTGAACCACCTCACCAGATTCATGACTCACCAGTGCAACAGTGTCTGCAATACGGCTTAAAAGAGCTGAAATAGAATCACTTTCATAAGGGTATTTACTCCAAGCGACATCAGACAGAAATGTTTCAATGGTTCCCTCGGCTTCTACTGGAAGCAATGAAACATTGGGTTCCTGTGGTAAGTAAACTGTGAATATTATACCAGCATGTTTATATGGAGCCTCGTCATTATCACAGTACTTATAAAACAGGAGTGGCGATGGTGGAGGAAGTTGTTCAAGGTGCATGACTAAAGCTGAACGGACACCCTTCTTGAAAATATCCATTAGTTCATCATCAAGGATTTTCTTTGTGTCGTCGCCATCATCCTTGTGRTATTTAGCTCCATCTATAAAGTTAGATGGACTAACATTTGGGTCAAGGCACCAGGCAAGTTTCTTGGCCAAACAGTCAACCACAGCATGAGCAGAAGGTGGGGCACCTAATAAAAACACTAATGGCTGGGATGGTTTCTTATTTCGTAGATGTGCAAGACCACGACTCCTTACAATYTTCCAAAATCTCTCTGTCTGGTTTGGAAAAAGTTCTTGTATTTCTTTTATTCTATTTTCAAATATTTTTTTGTAGTTAAAGTTATCATCTGAGTTGGTCATGTCCAGGAATCCTGGTCGAATTTCCTCAGGCCAATAATAAGCAATAAAAACAGCTAAAGCAACAACTGAAATCCCTGAAATGGCATAGCCAAATACTGTACACAAACCCGAGCGCTTAACTGGGATATTGTCTGTTTTAGTAGCCCTTTTAGGAACATTTTTTCCTTCTTTTAATGTAGGCTGCTTAATGAGACTTCCTGAATTAGGTTGTTGTGGAGTTTGTAATCTTGAATCATCTTGTAATTTAGTACTCTTGCTTCGGCTTTTTGCATGATCGGCAGTATTTTCTTTTTGTTTATCGTTATTTGAATCGTAGACAATGTCAGTTTCGCTTGAATCCTCGACCTCAATTGTGTCATCTCCACAAGAATCGTGGTCTCTATACCCTTCGACATTTTCTTTAGTTTTCGGCGACTCCTTCTTCTTGCCTTTCCTTTGCTTTCCTTTCCCCGACATTCTTATTGGACTGGCTCTCATTAAAATAGAGAAAACTATACTTTCAACAAAGTTTTTATGATGAAAACTTCAGTAAACTGGCAAACAAACCATGTGTGTGCACCAAAGGTCCAAAGTGTTCAAACGTAAATATTTCTATCGAGTATCTTGATTGGTCGAAAAGAATTCTAACCAATCAAATACATTGTTATATATCATTCCGGGAAACTTTTGCACTTCCTGTGAACTTTCCGGTTTTCTAACGCAAACATTCATTGGACAAAAATATATACTCCAATCAAAATAGATGTTCTATCTAATTCTGGGAATACACCGGGGAAAGCATTTATTCTTTCGAGCCGATAAAAGAGCCAATTTGATTGGACGTCTTGTGAATGAAAAAGAAACGACCAATCAGAGTAAGCGTTAGAATGTTCAGTTTGTGTTTTTAGTGAAGATCGAKCATGGCTAAATTTTGGCTGCAATCTTTTTTATTTTATCTAGTTTTTACTGCCGTAAATACTCTTCCATTCGCTGTAATACCGATTGGAGTTGGACTAGGAGGAATTGCGCTGTATAAAGCTTTGAATTGTCGTTTTTCYGAATGTTGCACAGAGAAGTGGGTCAAACCGAACATATCCGGACTTCAACATGACCTCGAAAATCGTCTTTTYGGACAACATTTAGTCACAAATATAGTCTACAAAGCTGTTAAAGGACATCTCACCAACGATAAACCACAGAAAGCGCTTGCTCTATCCTTCAATGGATGGACTGGTAGCGGAAAGAACTTTGTCAGCAAAATCATTGGAGAAAATCTTTACAAGAAAGGAATGGATAGCAAGTTTGTGCACTTACTAATTGCAACTCACCACTTCCCCCACAAAGAGGAAATAAACAGCTACAAAACTTTGCTAAAGAGATGGGTWATTGGGAATATCACAAAGTGYSCCAGATCTCTGTTTATATTTGACGAGATGGATAAGATGCCWGAAGGTCTAGTKGATGTTCTAAAACCCTTCTTAGACCACTACCCTGAGGTTGAAGGGGTAGATTGYAGGAAATCAATGTTYATGTTCTTAAGTAAYACTGGTGCTAAGCTCATTAATATGGAAGTACTGGAAAACTGGCGTAAAGGGAGAGATCGGAGTAAATTAACCATCAAACAGATGGACAAAATCATTAATTATGGCGCTTTCAATGAAAAAGGTGGTTTCTGGCACACAACTCTGATTGAAAAACATTTGATTGACTATTTCATACCTTTCCTTCCACTAGAAAGATCACATGTTAAAAAATGTGCTGAAGTTGATCTTGCTGAAAAGAAGATTCCGATAAGTGAACAAACTTTAAATAAGATTGCTGATGAAATGCTGTAYTTTCCTGATGACTCTAAAGTATTTTCTAAATCTGGCTGCAAAAAAGTTTCCTCTAAAGTAGACATTGTGATTGGCTGATGTATATAAATATCCACCAAACTTTTACAATCCAGCATTCTGATTGGCTACTTCACAAGGGTGTTTATAGGCCATGGTTGCATGGAATGAAATTGAAAATTCAAAAAAATTTTGAGAAAAACTGTCTTTTTTCAAATTTACCCTATAGTTTGATGGATAGAGCAAAAGCACTTGAACCATGAAATAAAACTAAACTAGTTACTAACTATTAACTATTTGACTTTTACTCTGACGAAGATTAACGTCTGAAACGTCAGTAAGTTATTTCACATACTTTTTTATGGTGTTAAATTTATCCTTTAATTTATCTATTTAGTGAATAATAGATGTTATCGCTGAACCACAACAGTTAATCTGTCACAAAGTGCATTACGCAAGAGATTATATAAACAAATGCACACATCTTGCTGCTCATTACTAATTACATTTTGTACATTCATATAGAGTCATTTTCATCCTCTGTGAAACAATTACTACAAGTCAGTGTTCAATAGTAACTATTAGAGTGTAATAGGCTACCAAAAGGGAAAATCAAAACCGTGTTTGCCTAATTGGTTTGTCGCATGTCATAAGTTAAACTATTGGGTAATAGTATTTAACAGTACAATTCCTACTTCACAGGACTCTAATTTCTTATATATTGCTCTTTGTGACAGATAAACTGGTTCTGGTCCAGCAATAACGTCTATTAGTCACTAAATACCAACTAATNAGGGAAGACTGCGTCCCTAAACTGTAAAAATCAAATTCATATCTTTACATCAACTATGAGAATTAAGTGCTTTAAGTTAATAGTCACTTAAAGTACTAATTCTAGACAAATTTCGGGATTCAATTCCGTTGCAGTTTTCAGCTGGTTCCGTCAGAAAATGTTGGCAATCCCAGCTTTTCAAAATCGTAGATTGTCATTTCTTGACACAAATTTCGCATGGATTTTTAATTCAAGATGGCTGCAGCTGTGTTGACTTAACATTTTTTCTAAATGCATAAGCTTAAAGACATTTACAAAGCAAGAAATAGACTTTACAAAGAACTTACTTGCAAGAGTAAATTGTGCTATTGTTTGCATGTCATCATTAATTTGAAAAGACGGGCACAGTCCAGTAGACGTAAGTTAGATGCTCAGTTCTTCTTCGGTGTGGTGTCGTCCACTTTAAAGCTTATACAACACGAAGTCGCTAAGAAGTTCTTTTGAAGTGATGTTTTACAATTCGTAAAATCAGGATGGTAAACTATTGTAGCATGTACATCAAAACCAGATCAGCAATTTTTCTCTAGGCAGTTTTTTCTTCACAGTCATCTAAAAGAAAAATGAAAGTCGTCAAACACATGGTTCTTGTCGGTAGTGTCAAAAAAAAGATAATACGACTTACTTTCAAATAGATTAGACCTTTTTTCGCCAAATACTGWCTTGGAATATTATCACATCCATCCTCAAGATTTTTAGTGGATTTCCTTTCAATCTTATGGAAGTTTTTCGTGTATTTTTTAAGCTTAAAAGTAAAACACTCACTACTCGTGTAGTGGAAAGGGAAGAAGAGAGGGAGCGAGAACATTCAACAGGCTTTTTTCCGGCGACTGAAGCTCTTGATTGGTCGAGGCTGGGTGACAGCTTTGACACTTCACTCTCATTGGACAATTTTCGCGCTCTTTTTTAACACACGAAAAAAATGGTAGTGGTATTCCCGTGAACATATATTTTTTTCCAGATTCTTTCTGTTGTGTGTATTTTACTCTTTGTGCTATGGAAATCTTTGACATTTTTGAGATAAAATCCAACGCGGGCGTGCTACCCAATGGTTGGGCATGGTCGACTAGATGCAAGACGATCAGATCGCGAGAGGTTACTGTATTATAAATATCAAATATGAATGAAAATTTATGTTTATAATTCGATCCGTCAGAGCTCCGGAGGTATTTCAGCGGAATTCCGGTGGTATTCCGGTGGTATTCCCGCGGTATTCCGGCTGAATCCCAAATATGTCTCGGACAATTAGAGCCTTTTATTGTTTTGCACTTCTGTGCAAAAAACAAGCCGTACAGATAGTGTTCTACTAAATTTTTGGAGTTTTCAAGCCGTTTGAACGTTAATTTTATTATGTAAAAATAAGAATGAAAAATTGTGGATTTTTTCCGGCTGAATTCCGGTATTAGGCTGTCGGGATTCCGAAGAAAATAATACCAGCGGAATTCCGGTGGTATTCCCGCGTTATTCCGGCGGAATCCCAAATATATATAGGATAATTAAAACCTCTTATTGTTTTGCATTTCTTGTGCAAAATAAAAAACGTGCAGATAGTGTCTAGCCGCAACAAACAACTTGGGAGTTTTCAAGCCGTTTACGCAATGATTTCTTATAGAAATTATAGAAATCTCAATTGAAATTCCGGGCTATTCCGGCTGAACTCCGGATAAATTCCGGATGTCTTAAAATTCTAACTTTCGCTTATTGCAAAGAAAACAAAGTACTGYCAACGTGCAACTTCATTTTTGGGAGTYTTCAAGCAGTTCAGGCAATGATTTCTTAATAATAAATCTGAATTGAAATTCCGAGTTATTCCGGCTGAATTCCGGACAAATTCCGGACGTCTAAATACCCTCAACGTTCACTTATTTTAGGGAAAACAAAGTACAGGCGGCGTGCAGCTGCATTTTTGAGAGTTTTCAAACCTTTTGGAAAGTGATTTCCTGATAATAAATCTGAATTGAAATTCCGGGCTATTCCGGCTGAATTCCGGACAAATTCCGGATGTCTAAAAACCCTCAACTTTCACTTATTGTAGGGAAAACAAAGTACAGGCGGCGTGCAACTGCATTTTTGAGAGTTTTCAAGCCTTTTGGAAAGTGATTTCTTNGCTACCAAAAGGGAAAATCAAAACCGTGTTTGCCTAATTGGTTTGTCGCATGTCATAAGTTAAACTATTGGGTAATAGTATTTAACAGTACAATTCCTACTTCACAGGACTCTAATTTCTTATATATTGCTCTTTGTGACAGATAAACTGGTTCTGGTCCAGCAATAACGTCTATTAGTCACTAAATACCAACTAATAGTCAATAACTAGTTTGTTTTTATTTCATGGTTCAAGTGCTTTTGCTGTACTAAAACAACCACTTGTTCTTGTGGAGTATGATTTGATAGTCCATTTAGCATTACTTAAGTTATACTTTTCCCGTGGGTTTTCACATTTCTTCAGAAAGAAAAGATGTCAATGAAATATTTACATTGTTATAATGGGTTCCCTGTGGTAAGCCACATTAAAGTTAGTCCTGGATGTTCCAGTGGCCATTTTTGAAGTGAGCTACACATGTTCGTCTGTCCTAATTTGTTTGTAGTCTTTTTATTATTATTATTATTATCTGAGATCTGGATGAGCGCTCACATTATGGACTATCAACTCTTATTATAAACATACTAATGGTCTATCACTCATACTGCGCTGTGATTGGCTACTCTACTAATGGTCTAATTTGTGATAGACCACTCACGGGAAAATCAAAATGGTGGCATCTCATTAATAAATTATTTTAAGGATATTTCAATTTGTTTTCATTATTTGACCGATAAGTATGTTTATACTAAAACAATTAGATCTCTCGGCCGCGTGGACTACGAGCTAATAGCCCATTCGTCCTCGCGGACTCGGCCTCATGGGCTATTAGCTCGTAGTCCACTCGACCTCGAGGTCTAATTGTTAATTAGTCCACTGGACCGTTTGGTCAAATAGAGCAAATTTCGTATGAGTGGGAAATGGACGGTACTGTACTGTGACCGTAAACGTACTGTAACCAAATTCTAGTGTCTCATTGGTTCAACAAAATTTTGCAACAAAATTTTAACCGTGCGGTAACGGTGTCCCACTCATACGAAATCCGCTCTATTGCATGTTCAACACTATTTTCATGCTCTTGTAACTCAGAAAAACTATATTTGATAGTATTTTTAGTATTTTGAAAGAAGGAAAGTATATTTGTAAGCTGCTGATATTAATCGTTTTTAACAATTTCCATGAGACTGACGGCCATGTTGGAGAAACGATCAATAGATACTAATGAGAAATCCTTGTTGAAGTTCCTCCAAGATGGCCACTGTGACGAATAGTGAAAACTAAGGATAAGCAAATTAACTCATGCTAGTTGAGTGAATGTGGTAGCTTAAGCTAATGACAGGAGGGAGCAGTCAAGGCCCTAGAATACTCATSTCTTTGCGTAATTTAGTAATTGGTGTTCCTATAAGGAACAGTGGCGTTTCAAATAAGTGTCTACAGTTATAAGCTCAGTTATCTATTAGTATATATCGTATATAAGCATTAGCAATGCCCATACTATAATGTTTCCTTTTTTCGAGAATTTCAAACAAAATAATAATTTTTGTCATAAACACTTTGTGTATTCATGTTTTAGAAAATAAATGCGCAAAGTAAAGTAAATAAATTAAATCAATTTTTCAATGCCCTTTATTGTTCATTCTAAATATGTCAACTACATGTTTTCTCTWCGCTATTAGGTCGTCTTTTCCATGGATTTGGYCCTTYAGTTACGTCCGCGTTTGGCWCGTTTGAAACATCTCATGGCGCKACGCARGCATCKYCCTTGTCGTCTGCAGTTCATCTTTGCTCTCAGCATGCACTTCAGACCTCGTTTAGCACATCGAATCTGAGCCTGTTAGAAAGAAACAGCACGCCAGCTTAAGACACACTAGTGGCACAAGGACAAGCGCAGAAGCAAGCGCAAGAAGTTGCACTAATTGCATTGTTGCATTGGCATTGAAAGCGCAAGACCAAGCGCAAGAAAAGATGAAAATTATTTATATCTTACGCTTTCCCGTGAGCTTACTTTATCACTACGTTTTCATTGCAAGCTAAAATGTCTCTTGTGTTAACGCTTGCTCTTGCGTCGCAACTAGTAAAAAACCTGAATATTAAATTATATTTGGACTTGGTACAGTCGAAAACTTTCGTGTGAAAAGAACTGGCATTTRAATTGTCATTTTCGACTGGGCAGATAAAAATGCTTTGCAAAAATTATAAATTAGTCGTAAATTTCGATCAGTTAATAAAAAAATATTTTCGATACAATTTATACGCGTAGTGACGAAAATATTGAGATTTTTTTTAAAAAAGAGAGATATTATTGTCCTCGTGAAGGAGAGGTGAAGGAGAGAATGTCAGCATCGTACCAAAAAAAAAAACAAAAAAACAATATATACCAAAAAAAAAAACAATCTAAAAAAATGAACTTTTAGATTATCTTACCGCGGTAGGCTTTTTGCCTTTGCGTGCATCTTCCTCGGCYTCATCTTCGTCGACTTGTTTCTCGTCCTCCTCGGTGTCTTCATGCTCAACAAGGTTGGCCATTGCATTCTCATGTTCCTCCTCTTCATCTTCCATGGGCTCGTCTCCTTTCTTAGAGTGACCAGCGGCCTTGCAGACGTGTTTCAAAATGTGTTTCTTGACGCAGGTACCAAATTGCTTAAGGCAAGGTCCACAGAATTTCTTTCCTTTGGAACATTTTCCATATCCTGCCTTGCACTTGCGCTATGAGATGATCGAAATAACATGATCTCTTAAATCACAGACATTCATTCAAAAGGTATCATTTTACATTATTTGCACAAACTTCTTTACTATCTTTTTTTCTAATTATGAGGTAGAAAGGCGAGGATTCTGGCAAAACTACTCGGTACTTTAAGTTCTTAACTCATTATCATTATCAAAATATTTTCCAAATTCATTGATTGTATGAAATCAAATCAATTAATTGTTTTAATAACTGTATATAAAAAAATACTCAAAGCATCACTTAAATAGTTTCCTTGGAAAACGTGTGGAGGATTCTCTCACCACAATTCCCTTCCATTTTCCCTTCTTCGCATCTTCGCTTTCGTCTTCTTCCTCCTCATCGTGTTTCCTGCCTCTGTGCTTCTTTACCATCTTCCTAACCCAGCCAAGGAATCTCTTGCATTTWGACACACCTTTCAGAATGCAGCGGCAAGCGAAGTACTTCACTTTGCAAACTGGGACAAGTTTACACCTTGCTTTGGTCTTTTTCAGGCATCCAACAAATACTTTTCCACAGATTCGCTAAAAGATAACAAGTTTGTAATGAGATGTTGTTGAAACGTCAAGAAGAACTAAATCTTTTGTGGCAAAGTCAATTAGTTTTAGTACTAAATATAGTGAAATGTTACCCCTACCATATGTTTGAATTTCCTGACCATGGCTTGCTTCTTCTTGAAGTGGGCGGGATCGTCTTCATTTCCAAGGACTTCATCTTCCAAAGAACCATCGTAGACGTCAGTCAGAGACGGCTCGTCTTGTTCTTCTTGGGTCTCTTCGGCCCTGAAGACGGCCACTGATGCAAACACGAGAAATAGAACGAGAGTCAGCTTCATGATTCAATGTGAACACTCTTGAGTGTGTGACTANGATGTTGACTTTTTTAAATCATGCAGTGACACTCTACTATAATTATATAGTAATATTTTCATTAAAAAATAGTAAAATTAGTCTCAAAATGCCAGGTGGTTGGATAAGGGGGGGGTGTCTATAAATATAAGATTCTAGCAAGGGGGGTCTCTGAAAATCTTTAAGCCAACAAAGGGGGTCTTTCAAATTTTTTTTATTTTAAATAATATCTCATCAGTCCCCCCCCAACAAGTGTTTGTGAATGCTCCCTTAYGGCTTTGTTGACTGGATGTGTGGAAGGCATAATGGTTAGAGTGGATTTCGTATGACTGTGCAACTGCACGGATCAGAACACGGACACTGCACAGTCACGGAACCTCGTCTTCTAGGATTCCAAATGAAAATAAAGATTTAACACTACATATCACGGCTACGGCACAGTACTGTCACAGTACTCTGAAAATAAGGTGTTTTTCGCACATTCATACGAAATCCGCTCTATAGTAATAAGTGTCGACCAGGCTCTACGATTTCCAGGTAGATTTCATATAGATTTAAGTTATAGGGATTACCAAAATTTCCACCCTAGAAACTGCACAGCTCAAACAGTCAAAATCCTACAGTTAGCCCTAATCCCCTTGGGTTTTACATTGGTTCAGTCACAAGGTACCCTGTGTATTTTTTCCTAGTTTGATGGCTTAATGAACAACAATAAACTACTTTGTAAAGAAGTTACCTCTAACTGGGTACTAACTGAGTTCATGTTCAACTTAGGGATGTTAAAATACCAATTTTATTTGTGTTTTTGCACAAGCATCAAATGCCGTTGTCTCGTATTGAGTTTCAGTATGACAACATTGTCATATGATGTCATGGCTTAGGGTTGTCTATCCCCTAGAAGGGACCACAAAACTCATTTTGGTGGGAATTCTCGTCATTATCACCCTAAGCAGGACCAAAACACTGATTTCAAACCCTAAAAGGAATGACGAGGACCMCCTGCCATTTTTTATTAGCCCCGGGCATCATGTACAACAACATTGCATGTGGGGGAGGGGCGGGTGGATGAGGAATGAAAGGTAAGTTGCTTATGATCATTGCATAGTATGATGACATCACGTACAACAACATTGCATGCTTGTGGGGGGAGAGGAGGGGAGATGAGGGAGGGAGGGTTGCGCATTAATATAGCATGGTAAAACATTGCAACTTTTTATTTTGACTATGATTGCAGTTCTTACTTTGTTAACTGCATAAACATCCCTGCTGACAAAGAACTAAAAGCATCATTCAACCTCAACCTGGGCAAACCCATGAAGAAGAGAAGTATATTTTCCAAAATGATCGCACTAATAAACAATGGTATTATGTCATTCAGGTAATCTGGGACATCATTCACTTGTGCAAAAGAAGACTCTGAAGGTGTTAGGGCATACAGGAAAGACCTGATGCCTTGCTCTACTGTTAAGTCTTTGGACAACTGTAAATAAAGAAAAGTAGTGATCAAATTCTTATTGCTCGTTTTCAAGTTACATCACAGCAGCCATCTTAGAGGAACGTTAACGAAGGATTTCTCATTATTAGTATCTATAATTGTTCATTCATCCAACATGGCCGCTGGTCTTTTATCTTTTGAATCTCATGGGAATGGTTGAAAATGATCAAATAGTCAATAATTTACACAAATTCAAATTAAAAAAATCTTCTAACACAAAGCTTGAAATATTAATTGTTAATATTCAATACGGTGTAAAGAGTTCTAAATAAGGCCTTAATCAAGTTAATAAAGTTAGCTTGTAAGGATGTGTTATCGAATACAACGCACGCAGGCTAAACAACAAACACAAATAAAGATAAGGTTAATAATTAGTCGGACTAGCCGAAGACGGTCCGACTTTAAATTTACCTTTTAGCCTATCAATCTATCTATCTATGTGTCATGTCGCATTTGGACCACCGGAAGTTAAGAATTTATTAATTAACTATTGGGTTGGCTGTGTAATTACATGACCGGAAGCTCAAGCGTATTGATGTACGAATATCGTTAGTAAATGTTATATGCTACTTGGCTTTTATATGACAAAAAAACTATTCGTTTACAAATGTGGTATCTGTGATCTCATCGGAATGCATCTGTCTAGGCATTAGAAGTACGCGCATGTGCAGATCGCATAGAGTTTCGAGTTGAATGCTTACAAAACTGAATCAATATCCTTTCCAGTGTTAGACAGTCTTGTGTTATTACATGACTGGAAGCTCAAGCGTATTGATGTAC